TCGATTCAGGTGTTTGCTGGTCCGTAGTAAAGTGTACTACCCTAATAAGGTAGCAAAAATAGTTGTTGCGTGTTGTTTTACACAAAATTTGCAATTGTGCAGAACTGCCAGTTTCCATGATCTCAAATAATGAGATTACATTATGGTGGTCGTGTCAAATTACTCTGTTAAATTCTACTAATTACATTACCTACATACTTATCTTCAAATTAATAATTTATAAATAGTTTTTTAAACAATAGTTATGTACAATAAATTTGATATTTGTTTGCATCAGTAACTTATGTAGAGATATAGGTTTAAAATAACTAGCTGCATGTGCTAATTCCACCAACAGTTCATTCTTGTCACAGACTGTCGACTATTCATTCCCCCATGGTTTGTTTCAACAAGTTATATATCCTAGTCACAGTAGTGTCAAAAATGCTTTGAACGACACACATGTGAACATGATGAATCTCCACCTGCAGTTCCTCCGTTCACAAACTTCTCTCAGTAATTTGAGTACACTCTGCTCTTCATTGTAAAAGTGATGAACTAGCAGGTGATGTGTTGAGATGCTGAATTAATCATAAATTTATTTAAAAACAAAGTTAGGTAAAATACAATTTCTACAATACATGCAACAAACATTTTTTGTTATTAAGTGACAGCATTATTTACAAATCAATGTACTTAATATGGTTGTTCAATGAATGAGTACTTTGACCTGATTAAACACTTCCTGACAACCCAATCTCTTGACTAACTTGATACCTACTGTGATTGGAGCTACTAATAGCACCATCTCAATAAGTAGAATTTACTTGCATTTACTTAGGGGAGGATGACTGCAAAATAGGTCAATTTTGATGCATTTTTAAAAGGGGTAATAAATATTAATTTTTAATATGCAAGTTTTGTTTACTTTATTAATAAAAATTATCAAAATTAAATTATCAAAATATGCGCGAATCATGCACAGATCCAGGCCATTGCACAACAATACATATATTTCCATTTGCGCTCAACATACTATTTGGACATTGATAGAAAACCAGCCTTGAGGAACGTGACAGTTCGTATACTCCACTCCGGTTAGGATTATGTTCCAAGGACGTTTGAGTGGAGTTTATTTTTACGACTAAGCATACCAAAACGCGCGTTGGAGGTTGAGTCGAGTCGAGTTAAGCTCGTGTAAACGACTAAAGATACGGGGGTCAGTCATATATCGACCTGAAGAGAAAGCAATATATATTTGTCTCTTTCACTGATTCGAATATCTTGGTACCCGTACACGTTTAAATCAGTTTGCTCGCCGGTCGAGCGCCGTGTTGAAGTGTGAGGGAGTGTTTTTTGTTTTCGCACCCACAAAATTACTTTTTGAGGTGAGTTTTGATTGTTTTCATAACTTTGTTTGTTGATATTGGCGATAGACATTATATTTATTCGATAATAGGTCTTGTATCAATTGTCTTTAACCCGTCTTTTGTCTTATTATTATATTATCTCGGTTGCTGTGATCAAATATTTTCAAAATGGCGTAGAAGTACACAGTGACTCAATTTTTAAAGGTACAGAGTGACTCATGAGCCACCACCATGTGTACCTGCTCGATTTCAATACTTTTGTAGCTTTTAATTAGATTTTTATTATTTTATTTGTAGAATGGCACGGAAGAAGACAGACAGAAAAATAGGGAATAGTTCCCATGTAAAAATCAAAGAAGGCTTGCAGTTTATAAGGAGCGGAGAATCTATAAGAAAGGCATCAAAAAGAGTTAATGTACCTTTTGCTACGCTTAAAATGTATTATTGGAAGACCAAGAACTGTGAGTCACTGTCAATTGGTATCCTCTGAGTTAGAACCTAACTATTCCGTCAATAAAATATTCACCGATAGCCAAGAGACTGCACTTAAAAACTATTATACTCATTATGCTCTTTTGTTTTATGGATTGAGCGCTAAAGAAAGTCGAAAAGTAGCATATCAGTGTGCTAAAATTAATAATTCAAAAATGCCTGCCTCTTGGGAAGAAAAGCAAATGGCTGGTAAGGACTGGTTAATTTCATTTAGACGCAGACATAATATCACATTAAAAAAGCCCGAACCGTGCAGTCTCGGTAGGGCAACAGCTTTCAACCTAAGCAAGGTCAACAAATTTTACGACAATTTAGAAAATCGACGAACGAACGAAAAGTCATTGGTAAGGTGACTAGTGGAGAAAGAGAGACGTTAGTTACGACGTGCTGTATCGTGAGTGTCAGTGGGAATTTCTCGCCCCCAGTCATGGTCTTTCCCAGAAAGAATTTTAAAGATCACATGATTAAAAATACGCCCCCTGGAACTCTCGGATTAGCTACACCTACCGGATGGATGAATTCGGCGATATTTCCAGAGGTTATAAAACATTTCATCAAACATGCAAATGCTTCCAAAGAAAATCCATGCATTTTGATCCTGGATAACCATGAGTCACATTTGAGTCTAGAAGCTCTTGATTGTGCCAAAAATGCGGTAGTGCACATTCTGACTCTTCATCCCCACACATCAGCAAAGTTGCAGCCCCTAAACGTTGGTATCTATGGTCCATTTAAAACGTACTACAACACTGCCATTGACTCCTGGCTTTTGCGAAATCCGGACAAAACGATAACAATTTATGATTTTGGCGAAATAATAGGATCTGCATTTCAAAAGTCAATGACGCCAAAAAACATAACAAACGCCTTTGCAAAATGTGGTATTTATCCATTCGATCGACACATTTTTACAGAAGAAGACTTTCTTCCTAGTTCGGTAACTGACCGTCCTTGTCCAGAAAATCTGCAGAATAAAGGTGATTCTCTGGGTAGATAAAAAAAAAGAAACGCACAAAGTACATCCGTGCACTTGGTGGATATATAATGCTTTCATATGTTTGAATGCAGTGAGGTTTTCCAAACAATTGTGATTGATCTTTGTTGTATGTATTATACCTTACAAATCATTGATTAGGCTAGAGCACAAGTTCATTACTCAATAATAAACGTAAGTATTGTGTAGAACTATCGATCTTGTATTTTTCAGGAAATGTTGCAGACACCACGCCTATTCTTGACACTCTATCATGTCGTGACACTCCACCACGTCGTTCTGGGTCCCGGCAGACTGGCTGTGGTGCAGCCTCCTTAGGAGGTAAGTTAATAATGTAAAAAATAATTAAATTCGAAAATTTCAGAACCCTGAGAGTGTACAAAAGCAAAGATACAAATTTTGTTGTTGGCCTACAATTGATGCAGATATCACATACCCGATCCTGTGGACGGAATGGTAAACAGTCGACGTCGCCATAAGCACGTCATTATGGATCTTCCCGATCCATTAACGGTGCTTTTAGGCATCACAAGCACCAGTCACTGCCCTTCCTGAACCCGTCGCTTGCGAGGAAGGGCTCGACGAGCGAATTAACCCATAAACAGCCCACTGAGTTTCTCGCCGGATCTTCTCAGTGAGTCGCGTTTCCGATACGGTTGTAGATTCTGAAAGCTCTTGCTAGGGCCAGTGTTAGCAACGCACCCGGCTTGAGCACCGTGAGCTCACCTAGACTTCAAGGAGAAGCTGAAATAGCCTCTCAAGGCTATCAGCATAGGTAGGAAGAAAAAAAAAGATATCAATGAACAAACGTTCACAATTGACTTCCACGGTGAAGGAATAACATCTTGTAATAAAAACCAAACCCGTAAAATTATAATTTGCGTAATCACTGGTGGTAGGACCTCTTGTGAGTCCGCACGGGTAGGTACCACCACCCCGCTCATTTCCGCCGTGAAGCAGTAATGCGTTTCGGTTCGAAGGGTGAGGTAGCCGTTGTAACTATACTGAGACCTTAGAACTTATATCTCGAGGTGGGTGGCGCATTTACGTTGCAGATGTCTATGGGCTCCAGTAACCACTTAACACCAGGTGGGCTGTGAGCTCGTCCATCCATCTAAAAGTTGATCTCAAATAATGCAATTTGTAAATCTAAATATATCAATATCTTTTTATAACTTCACTTTAATTGTATTGAATCAGATGAACTGACTATCACATTTTACTCAGTCTAATTAATAATTCGACTATAGTAGCTCAATCCAATTGTGGGCTTTGAAACCACCCATTAATACATTAATTACCACTAAGCTATCATCACTTCAAAATCATAAATATACATTATGTAGATTACTAAAATGTTACAAATATAGAAGTATAACAATTGCATTTTATTTCATTACAGGAGGGAATGTGCGCACCAGGGTAATACAGGAAGAATTTAAGTTTAGAAAAGAATCTTATGAAAAGAAAGAGAGAAGAGAAGATGAACTCTTTCTACAAAAAAAGGAAAGAGAGTGGATGATGATGGCAGCAGAAGAAGTCTATCTAAAAGCAAAGGCTGAGAGGTAAGCTACAGAGGATCTTAAAAAATATAATCGGGCTAAAAGAGACTGTAGTGAAAAATAATTTAAATAAATAAAACTCATAATCACTTAAGCAAAATATGACTTATGTAGGTAAATAAAATAAGGAGTTTCAAAAGTCTAACCTCGTACTATTTACTTTTTTAGTAAAAAAAATTATCAAAATTAACAAAATCAAATTTAATCATTCCTCTTCAAAATAAAGAATAGTATCTGCATTACAATAACAGTGCTCACTGCTCGGTTCCAACTTATATACCCATATTAGCCGGACAACTGATAACTGTTAGGGTAAACATGTTCTTGAGTCGAAACTGCGAAGTGGTGGAGTGATGATCTGTGCAGGGTGGCTGGCAGGAGCTGGATAAGGGAAACCGATTGTGCTCAGTGGCGAGCAATTGGAGAGGTCTATGTCCAGCAGTGGACTGCTGTAGGTTGATGATACTCATATGCAGAAATTTTAATTGAAATGCCTAGAAATAAAAGCCGATCGTATAATACTCCCTCTGGAAGAGTCCTGAGTATTAGGTACTGGGACATTTTCTATCTTAATTTCAGGGTTCAGTTCAGGTTCATTGGTCATTAAACAAATGTTGTGTAGGACAGCACAAGAGAGAGACTATAATATTGCATGAATTTTTGTGTACTGTACAAAAGTCTCTTAAAGAATACACCATTTACACGATCAATAACGTTTCTTGTCAACACACGTGCTCGACTGTATCTGTGTTCTGGGTCTGTTTGAGGATTCAGTACAGGGGTAAAGCCAGTCTGCGCATAACCGCTGTCTCCGACAAGAATGCCAACCAAATCGCCTTCTTCAAATCTCAAACAGCATCTGCTGTTGCTAAATATGCGCGAATCATACACAGATCCAGGCGATCGCACAACAATGTCATATATTTCCATTTGCAATCCACATACTATTTGGACATTGATAGAAAACCAGCCTTTTCTATTACGAAGGATTTCTCCCCTTGTTCTGGATGGATTTTTTATTGGAATGTGTGTGCAATCAATACATCCAATTACACCTGGAAACCCTGCAATTCGGTAGAATTTTCTTTTAGTTTCAACCCTTTCATTTGATCCAGGGTATTTAATAAATTGCCTGGATTTGAAAGCCAATCTCTTAGAAATGTTTGCTACCGTTTTTGATACTACGGATTGAGAAATTTTGTGCAAGTCGCCACAAGCAATCTGAAAAATAATCATACCACATGAAACAATCTGCCGATACTTTCAGCTATTTCTGCCAGTGTCGTGTTATGGCTACACATGGAACATTGTCGAGCTATTTAAACACACTTTATATTATGAAAAGTATCCAATTTTGGCAATATTATTATATTATTATCCGGTAAATGTCCGCCACCTCCTCTCACTATTCCCAGACCCCCGTATTATAAGTGCTTTTATTAAGTTTATAACTACTAACTATAAAATTATAATTATATGTAGTGCATTATTCTCTGTACATAATCTTTATTATAATATGTAAGTTTATAGTAACATTAATTTTATGTTAGTCCCAGGCACCAATAATATTGCCAAAATTGGATTGAGGAACGTTCAAGGTACGTCGCGATGTACCTTGAATTGACAGTTCACATACTCCACTCGGTGAGGAGATTTTTCGAAGGATGTTTGAGTGGAGTTTATTTTTACGACTGAGATGCCCGTATCTTTAGACGTTTCGTCAAATATTCCTCCACTCTTAACTCATCCGATGCCGCTCGAGGATTCCTCCCAAACTTACTCGAGTTTGGTATTTTTAGTTGACCATTATTTTGTACTCATTTCTTAAAACAATTTTTTTATAGATATTTACAATGTGGGCCTGGGAGTAGCCGGGCCAGCACCCCGGTCATGGAGCGGCCCGGAACTAGCGGGGCCAGCACTCCGGTCATGGAGCGGCCCGGAACTAGCGGGGCCAGCACTCCGGTCATGGAGCGGCCTGGAACTAGCGGGGCCAGCACCCCGGTCATGGAGCGGCCCGGAACTAGCGGGGCCAGCGCCCCGGTCATGGAGCGGCCCGGAACTAGCGGGGCCAGCACTCCGGTCATGGAGCGGCCCGGAACTAGCGGGGCCAGCACCTCGGCCACCGAGCGGCCTGTGTAAGTATACATTTTTTACACATGCAAATAAACATATTTTTATGTCTTTTTTTTATACCTAGTCAGGTCATAAGTATTGTCACACAGTAAAAACTTTTCTTTTAGAATGCTGGCCACAAAAAAGTTTATTGAATTCGAATTTCGAATTATTCATGAAAATAAAAATGTAAACTTTTAGAATTTTACTCATTTTTAAATATGGAGTGGACGCTTAAAGAAGACCGTGTTGTAGGTATTGCGTTGCATCGTTGCGGTTACGCGCCAATTCAAATTTTTAACATACTGAAAAATTTGAATATAACCAAAAGATTCGTTTATCGTACCATCAAACGATACAATGAAGACTCTAGTGTAGATGACAGGTCAAGAAGTGGTCGCCCTCGGTCTGTTAGGACTCCAGCAGTGATAAAAGCTGTGAAGGCGCGAATTCA